ATATTATTCCTTAATATTAGGGTTGTAGTAAATTATGATTTTCAAGTATGTTGGGATAAGTATTACTTGTTGAGATAGTGAGTATGTTTGGTTGGTTTTTATGACTTATTTGACTTTGCATTAAGTCCCTAAAGGGGTAAAATGGCATATTTTGAATAAAAAGTCCTTTTTAGCATGTTTTACTTGTGTATGTGCATAAGATCCCATACTTAGTACTTGTGGAGTACTAACCCCATTTTCTTCCCATTTTCCAAACATTTTAGGTTCCGGTCGTTGAAGATTTTGGAAGACGACATTGTTGAAGGCTTTTATTATTCCTTTCATCCAAGTGGGGTAGGTCCTCAACTTTCGAGGGCAATGCCATCCTCTAGCCTACGAATTTTGTTATGATCCTATTGACTCTTTTATTCTTTTTCTTTTAATGGAGTGTTGTACTTATTTATGACCTATACATGGTCTTGTTGAATTGATGTAATGGTTATGCCCATATTGTGATATTCATTTAGATGGTATGAGATGAGACAATCGTTGAGACTATTTCTATATTTTACGTATATGTATGTGCAATAAAAGTAGAAGGCTATGTAACCTTATCATACGAAGGGTCTATGTATACTCGATATGAATATATATTATGTGTATGTAGAGGTCTATGTAAACCTCCAAGTAGTGATAATGAAAGTTTTAATTTTTTCTGCATTTTTCAACTTATGAATGTAATGACATGAAACTAAGAGGCTAGTCTTAGTCCTTGAAAAGGACGACGATGCCAGTTACGTCTGGGGGTAAACCCGGATGTGAAACTATATGAACAGTGCTTCTTGAGACACATGATTGAAACTAGAAGAAATTCCATTCACCTGTCAAAGAAAAGGATGAAATCGTAGTTTTTATGGTGAAAATTATTTTTGGTCAAATCAAAGAAGGTGGAAAAGTAGGAAAGACCAAGGAAATACTTTTAAAGGAACATGTCGGATCTTGGGATGATTAAAATTACATGAATATCCCTCAGTGGCTAATGAACATTTCACATATGGACTTCTTATCATGAATTTTATGCTCATTCTTTTACATTTAGTTGTATGTTTCAGAGCCACCTTTGAAGTCAAGATACTCATGCACTATAACATTATATTTGTGTCTGTCACGAGAGATAGACTAAATAAATTGGAGCAAAATTCAAGATCATCCAGAGATCTAAGGTATGTGCACTACAATTATTCATAATTATAAAATAAATGCACTTGAATTTATTTCTTCCACTTGTCTCAAAATATATATTCATCCCCTCAATACTACTAAATAAATATCTTCTTAAAATCTTATTTAAAGCCTTATCACAGTGTGATGGTCTATAGTTGATATGACTTCGGTGGATGACTTATTTACTTTGGTGCCTTATAAAATATAAATTGTGGTCTAGAAAGTAGATTTGTTGGTTCATAGGGGGAATCTGTATTGGATGTGTCTAAAATTACTAAGGAAGTTTTGGAGGATGTACCTTGTGAAGGGGAATATTTTGGGGACCTTACAATTGAACAAAGTTTAGTTGTTAGGATCAACTTGGGTGCATCTAGTGAGGAGGAATTGATGTGAGACCCATTTGTCAAACCTAGTTCTTCTATTGGGAAACATATAAAAATTGAGAAAACATGTCCCCTTACAAATGATGTTCAAGAAAATTTATTTCTCTTACTGATTTATTGAAATTAAAGATGAGTTAACTATTGTTTGTCCATAGGGCACAGGATTAATTGAACAAGTTCCTTAAAGTTGATATAAAAAAAAATTAACCTTGCATAAACCAAGGCTACCTTTGAAATTGAGAAGGCTGCTAACTTTTTTAATCCAAAAGATATTTTCGCTGCTGAAAAATGACTTTTATTTACCCTATCATGCCCGACATTTTGATATTACCTAGCGACTCTAGCCTTTGATTTGCCAATTTTTTCTCATCACAAGTGCTTAATTCTATATCTAATTTTGATTACATTTGTGATGAATATGTTTTTTTATTACTGCTAATGTTGGTTTGAGTTTCAGGTTCATGTCTATCTCCTATGTTTGTGCAAATGTTTTGTTATAGCTAACTGAGTTCTTGATTTTTTCAAGTGTTTGCTATAGCAAGTGGCCATGAGTATCAAATTTGCTTCTCTTAGTTTGGTGTGTGCATTTATAGTGTTTTATGATGTCAAAAGGGGGAAGTGGATGCTTGTTTAATATTTATAACTCAATTGACCTAACTTCATCTCTAATGTGTTTGCTTTGAATAAAGAGTTCAAGAAACTGAAATGACACAGATTGATCTATTCACACAAGAAGCAATGGTTTGTCATCATTTAAAAAGGAGAATTTGTTAGAACGAGAAACATTTTGATAATTGACAAATAGAGGAACAAATGAAAGAAACTGGTTGCACGACATGTTCCTTTCAAACTGAATCCGACTTGGATAAAGAGAATGTCAAGAACATGAATTAGAAGTTATTAATTTGTGAAAGTATTACTTTTTCGACAAGCAACCAGCAAAAAAGTTTCCTTTTATAAAGGAGTTCGCATGCAACATAATATTCTTAATCAAATAGGAAAACTAGACAAACTAGGAAGCCGAAGTAAATAAGGAAATAAAGGGAGTAAATAAAGAGTTCGAGGAGGAAATAAATCAAAGTGAAGTCACGAAAGAAAACTGAAGACAAGTACGAGTTGAACTAGGAGTTCCACACGAAGTAGGAATCCTACACATAAGCTTCTAAGTTTCAAGAGAAAAAGGAAGTAGAGCACAAGTAAGATTTCTAGTTGAAATAGTTTTTGGATTCAAGTGCAAATTTATAAATAGGGCGATAGTTTTGCTGGAGAAAATTGCGCTCTTACATAGAGAGAAGATCAAAATATGATCAAGAATTTGAGAGAGTTTTGAGATTTACTTGGGGAGTGTTGCGAGTTTGTGAAGAAAAAGTTGTAAGATTGTAGTTAAGAGTATTGATTACAATTAAGTGTGTGTAGGATTCGTCTAATAAGTTTGAGAAACTTAACAGACGGTAGAAGACTTAAACTTGGGGGCTTTTGTCTTGGGGTACTAGGAATTAGAGTTTATAATTTCTTAGCTAGGAATTAGAGTTTACAATTCCTTGGGTTACATAGGTTTTGCAATCTTTTGTTGAGGCTCAGAGTTTAATAAAGTGAAGTTAAATCCTACAGAGGTGTAGGTCATGATTTTTATCCTTTATGAGTTAGGTTTTCCACCATAAAATTGTGTCCTTATTTTATTTGATTTACAAAACATAATTGTTGTAATCTGGAAAGGAATATATAAAATATGTTTGTACCTTAGGCAAATTTAGGGTCAGAATTCCAACAGAATTTAATACAATCTTTTGATTGTGAGTTATCAATGACACATGACTTAAAAGTTTACTATCGATGAAGTCCAATAACCACAAGATAATGAGCCAGGACGACAACATTTTGATGAATAGAGGTCCACCATTATCACGGGTCATAGCAGTAAAATATTTTGCTATCAATTCACACTTACATATATGAGACTTAACCTATGACTTCCAAAAACCGATAGAAGTTGGGAAATGTTTATTGTTTTGTTTAAAGAAATGGGTAATTGTTATTTTATTTAGATGGGTTGGGTATTTTGAAAATGAGACGGTGGATATGGATGGATAGGATGGCTTGGGTCACACAAATTCGGCTTTAATTAATTAAGCTTCCAACCAATAACAACATGCCACGTAATAAATGAAATAATTAAATATATTGGCTAAGTAGTCCGTTAGTCAAAAGGGCAAAATAGGTCCTCAAAGGTTAACGGGTAATATTTTTTACCAATCTGATACTATGAGGGTATTTTAGATCCTTCTTCATTGTATAATTAATCGTCAAAATGATTTTCTAGAAAAAATCTGATTTTCACAAAAAAAAAAATTATTTCATGGTTGGGCTAGAAATTCATTTTATTCATTTTTAAAAAGTTTATTTATATTTATTTGATTATAATAATAATGTGAGAAATACTTATACCCAAATGGGTCATACTAGTTCAACTTGTGACTACATGAATTTTCAACTAAAAAAAAAAGGAAAAATTGTATATAATGTCAAACTATTAATTCAAATTAAATGGTATAACCACACTAAGATTTAATTGTGCCATGTAACAAATTGTTTGTCATTCGCCTCTCTCTAAAACTCTCGCTTGCCACCCTCACTCTCTTGCTCACTCCCTTTGTCGCTGTCTCTCTCGCTTTATACAATCAGAAATTTATAAATTGTGTTTCTGTTTGTATAAAGCGAGAGAAAATTATTACAAACATGCAAATACATATATTTTCGTCCGATATCCTTATAATTATACAATACAAACATACCCCTTCCCAGTTCTCTTTTGTCTTTCTCTCTTTCTCGTTTTATACAAACACAAATTATACAAAATACAATGTATAATTTAGGTTTGTGTAAAGCGAGAGAGAGAGAGAGAGAGAATATTGTTTGATATACAAACGTTTTATTTTGATTCAATTGTATATAAATTCAAATTTTATATAGATATACAAATAGATGAAATTGAATTGAGTGGATGTCAACGATTTATGCAAACGAGAGACTGGCAGTCACTATACAAATAGACTGGCGGCGAAATTATACAAATCTAAAAAAGGAGCCAGCGAATTATACAATTTGCTTCTTTTGTATATATGTGTTGCGAAATAACCTAGTCATATTTGCTATGGAGCAATTATGTAAATTTTTTTATAACATACAAATATGAATTTTGTGTTTGCTATGTGAAAGTAGCTCCCAAAAAATTGGTTCCATCTCTTCTATTTTCCGTTCCCATACCCCTCAAAAATATAATTTTAAAAAAGTAAGCATGATTGAAATACTATATAGTTCCTACTTGAATTTCAGTCCTCATGAAAAATAACAAAAGATTTAGCCAATTTTTACATGTATAGCCTTAAGTTAAGCCTTAATTTGTGAACAAGATACTGTTGCAAATTGAGTGAATAATTTGCGAGATCTCAGTATTTTTTTTTTTAGTTACAACGCTACTGTCCACACCTCACCCCAGAGTAATTTTACATATTGCCAGTTTCTTTGCCTCCAACACATTAGTAAAGCAAGAAATTCTTATTTCCACAAAGCATTCTTCATACAAAGTTTGATATTAGCGACTACAGATATATCAAAAACATTATTGGCATAGATTCTAGAAGCTCATTGTAGAGCCAGAACACTTGGGAGGCAGTAGTGATAAGCTTAAAGAGCATTGACGATTTCATCAGCACCGGAGACCGTGAACTCCCCTCCAGATTCAATGTTAGCTACTTTCACCTCAAGGTCATCAACCAAAAGAGCATACCTTCGTGATCGAACACCAAGCCCCTTATCCGACAGATCAAGCTCCAGCCCAAGGGCATGGGTGTATTTTCCAGCTCCATCAGCAAGAAATTTTACATGTTTGTTCTCAGGGTAAGTTTTTGCCCAGGCCTTCATCACAAAGGGGTCATTGACTGCACAAGTAATGCAAACATGGAATAAGATATCATGATGGGGTACACACATCTAATGGGTAGTTGCACACTTGTACAAGGCTGGTTATGAATAAAGTTCCATATTAATCGTGCATACTTGATGTGATAATACATTAATTAAATGTAATATTTCAGCATATACATAAATATGTCTTACTTAGGGGTGGCAAAATTAACTCAAACCTGTCTAACCTAAGCAGCAGTGATTCTACAGGTTGGGTCATCACATGTTTTGAGTTGACTCAACGTGTTGTAACCCAAACTAACCCATCTTCTACATGGGTCATTTTGAGTCAATAATCAACTCATAAACTGAATAGCAATGTAACAACATTCAGCTTCAGCAAAGGTGAACAACATCCAATGGATCTACTGCTTTTGCTTTCTGTAAGCTCTATCACTATATGATTGATGAAAAAGGTAAGTTGTTCTTTTACATAGTACACTTTTTTGTGAAATTGTTCGAACACAGAACTGATTTTGGGTTTTTGTTCATCATCTGAACTTGGGTATTATGGTATGGATACAATTTATTTGTTTTTTAAAAGTAAATATATATTTTATTCAGATACAGCTCTCTGGAATTTTAGTTCTATCTTTATTTAAAAGTGAAAGTCATGTGGAATTAGTGGTAGATCAAATTAGTTTAACAAACTTAAGGACATCTTATCACTGTATTATCTACTTGGGCAGGTTAGGTTATAACCTGCAATTTAACCCATTTTAACCCAACCCATTTGGGACCCAAATAAATTTTGAGCCTGTTGGGTTATGAGTTGTGACCCATTCACTAACCTAACCCATTTTGACCCACCAAAACTTGACTCAGCCCACACATATGCCACCCCTATTCTTACTCATATTTTGATATGTGGATTACTTGGACTATATTAGTGCACTTCATTATCTATAATAACTGCACATGTTTATTTTTAGAAAGTACTTTCGTATCAAGACCTCACCTCTATTTCCTTGGGCACAATTCGTGATATTATTGAGTAATTCCCGTACTCACCCCTCACTTTTTTTCCCAATGAGCATATTTAAATTTGAGCACCTATGAACCATGCGAGAGGGTTCAAGAGTTGGTTATAGTTGCAGTGGACAGTGGTGAGATATCAACTTTCTTCGCCGATGGCTAAAGTTGCTAACTTTACTATACAATTCTTTTCGGACAGTGATGTATTATTCGGCTCATAGTAGCTCATGATTCAGTTTGTACTCAATCTTGAGGATTATTTTTGGTATTTTTGCCTTGTGGCTTGTATCACTTGTGAATTTTATCTACACGATTCCCTTGTTTAGACTATTTTTTTGTGCGGAACCTAAGTGATGTGAAAAAAGACGAAGTTGACCAAAATAATGGGCAAAAATTTAAGTTTCTTAAAACTACCTATAGTACACTAATCTGGTGCGCTATATAATCCCCATTAACGGACCAAGCCTAAACGGTTGTCAAGGTTAATGAAGCGATATAGTTAACTAACTTCATACGCTACATAACTCCTAAAACATTACTCCAACACTTAGTTATTAGGGATGTTTAGCAAGTTCGTAGTTATTTTGTTTAAAACAACTAACTAATACCTTATTAAGTAATCATAAACTACCAATTAACTAATCTTAAGCTCTATAATATAGCACACTTAACTAATCTCGGTGATGATCCCTAGTGCTATCTTTGGGTGTTTACAGACAGAGAGGAACAAAATATGTTTTTGATGGAGTTTCAACTTCTAGAGATCTTTTGTGAGACAAATGTCCAGTTGGCTTTTTAAGTTGGTCCAAATCGACTCCTATAAATAATTCTTGATGCCTTTTAATGAAGGTGAAATGGTCTAATAGACCTTATTACTTATATGTGTTTGTATTCTGAACTCTTCTACTTGACTATTTGTCAACTGAACTCTTCAATCAATGAAACTCTATGACCGTTGACTAAGCTTATGTGGCAATTTAATTATTGAGTTAACACAAATATGTCAAGTCACGCATAGAAGGAGCGCAAAACATCAAATTTTAGACAAAAAATAATTTTTTTCTTTTTAAAAATACATAAAAAGATAAAAAGTAATAAAATTAACTTCTTCTTTTTTTCAGTTCTTTCTTCTTTAATTTCCCACCCTACCCATGATCTGTCCCCATTTTTTTTCTTTCTACTCTCAAACCCCATTTCTCTTCTTTCTCCCCTTTCCGGTCCTTTTCAATTTTTTGTTTCTCTCTTCTTCTTTTTTCAAATTTTCTTTCTTTCGGGAATAGAAACGAAATTGCATTGTTGTAGATCTATATTTTCCTTTTATTTTTGGAGTAATTTATAACCCATAAAGTGATAAAAATTCCACAATCTTGGAAGATGAAAAGTGATTGTTGAAAATTTTTTGTGAAATTAGGTGAAATTTGTTATGTAAAATTGTGTACAAATAATATTTTAGAGTATATTGATGTATTTTTATGGTTATTTATTAACATTAATGGGAAAAGAGATTTATGGTGGATACGATTAAAAGTTGTGAATGAAAGAAATTTTGAAAAAAAAATAGAATGATAATTGTTAGTTACTTTAGGAATGTAATGATACTAGTGAAAATGGAAGGTTGTGGTAGTATCTCTAATGTAAAAAGATGGGGAGAGGTGGAGGGATGAAAGAGGAATGAAGTGAAAAAGAAAGAAAAATTAGATTTTTTTAAAAAAAAATCATAATAAGTGAAGTGTCATTTAAAATGTGATGTGGACGATGATATGTCATTTTTGTCAAGTGTTTGAAGTTCACACACAGCGAAACTGCGAAAGGGATTTAAAATGCTTAGTTTCACCGAGTTAAAGAGTTCAATTGACAAATGATGAAATAGAATGGTCCATAATACAAACTCACACAAGTACAAGAGTCTATCATACCATTCCGCCTTGAATCCACTTACCTCATCCCAAGAAACACCTAAACCTACCAAAAGAAATCTAGTGTTGACTAATATTTTGTGAGTTATAAACAAAAAATAACGAAGTCCACGAGTTATATCTGTCCATTGACCTACTAGACAGATATCGAGGAGTGGTAGGCTAATGAGGTAATAAAGCACACTAAATTAATGCACGATATGTACCTTCGGAACCTTCAGCTTTGCTCATTATTTCGGCAACTTCGTTTTGGTTCTCTTCACTTAGATTCCAGACCCTTTTTTAAAAATTTTTGTAACATTTGTATTTCACATAGTACTTAGGTAGTACTGAAAAACCATATTTACGAAAGCAGAAAGGAAGTATAATCTACCCAAAAAACTAAACCAAATCTAAATGGATCCTAAAACATCTATGATTGACTCAGTTTCATTGGAGTAGACATTTGTACACCAAAAGCAGAACAACAAAATACACTTAAGCTTAACTTCCTGCAGGTTATTGTTCCTATTCTCAAAACATCTCTCGTTTCTCTCCCTCGATTCCAGACCCATTTTAATGTCTTATTGGGAATATTGATGTTGTTCTGAATTGCTTAGTTCGCTCAACATGGAACATTGAAACCAATCACGTGGTTTACTCAACATGGGACATTGAATACCAATCAAACTTTTTAATTTTGACAGTGAGACCAAGAAGGCACCACTCTTCTGGCAATTCACATAGCAATCATGACATTTGACAAATATAGTCCTCGGGAAAAGGTGGTAGTGGCAATAAGATATGATCAATTAACTCTGCTTATGGGGAGGAACTGACGTATCAAGACGTGCTAATCTGACAATCCTAATTGGCCCAACTTTTAACTCAACAAGCTAGCTCAGGATTCAAATATACTCATATTTCGCTTGCTATCTACACACACCTACACTCTTTTCCCCGCCATTACATATAAATTGCAAAAGATATCAGCAGAGTAAAACAAATAGTGAGAAAAGAAAGTTGTCCCTACTTCTGAGCCTTCTAACTGTGCTTTTTTCCCTCTAAATTATGCAACAAATGAAGAGTGGAAAATTTGCAGAACTCCACATTAAGCTCACATAAAGAAAAAAGGTGAAGAAGACATGAAGCATGACGGTGGTTACACAGTGGTAAACTAGACAGTGAGGGTAGTTTTTTAAGAACAATAAGAAGAGCATTAACTCCCGAGAGTTTCAAGTTTCAACCCACCTCAGAACAAATTCTCAACTCCTTGTGCTTATTGCTACGAGTAAAGTAATGAAAAATCATATATTGTTTTCCGTAGCTTTAAAATGCAATGAGGATTGAATTTTGTATTTTTCAAACCAAGAAGAAAAAGAAATACAAAGCTTCCAGTCATTCTTATCAGCTTTAGTTCATTTTAAGACTCTTAACAAGTTTTATTGAGAACTTCATTGGCGGTATCTGCCATATAACCACGTGAAATCTTTCCAAAAGATATATACTCTGCAAAAGAGCCTAAACTCAAACCATAGGAACTTTCAATCGCTAAGAAGCTTTCTCAGATCTTAAAGGTAAATGTTTACTGATCGCTAATAAGTTAAACAACGAAATAAAAAAATTAAATATAGATGGAGAAGAAAGATACCACTGATGCAGAGGATTTCATCGACACCCTTTGACTTCAACTCAGCAGCCTTTTCAATAAAGCCAGGCACATGCTTCATGCTGAATACAACATTTCATAGTTAAATATCATAGATCGGATTCACCATTCGTTAGAAAAAAGGATAAAATTAATTAGAACCTGCAAGTGGGAGTGAAAGCTCCGGGAACGGCGAAGATGATGACCTTCTTGCCCTTAGCAAGTGAGTATACTGAGACGGTCTGCATCTGATCTTGCTCGTCGAAGTAAGATACGGTACCATCGGGGATGACGTCACCAACGGCGATTGGAGCCATTTTTCTGCTACTTAGGTTGACACGAGATTGCACAGTGATGACAGATTTGTGTTGAGCTTCCTGCGAAGGTGAAGGGCCAATAATATATATTAATAAGTTTTGAGGTCCGTGGGATTTATATATATAAATATTAAATTATAATGGGCGAAGGATAAATATACTCGCAAGTGGTACACAAATATATCATCCGTCATATTATTATTGTAAATGACTAAATAGCATGTAGATATTTTTGTTATAATTTTGGAAAAGATTAAATAGGAATATATGATGTAATTTTATTTACGATTTAATATTTAATAAATATAAAATTGATAGGATTAAAATTATAACACATGTATATTTATTTATATATTCTATTTTTTAAATAATAAAAGTATCGATATCAAAAATTATGATGAAAGATATTTATATATTTATATATATATATATGTATATATGTGTATATATATATATATCATTTCTCCCTATCATAATTAAAGCTAAGTGGATTTGGTAAAAATTAGATAATACATAACTTATTTACTATATTTTCTAAAATTTCTTTCTTGGTGAAAAAATTACAAATTATTTTATTTTAAGTGATATATTTATTTCAGTTATATATATCATTTTACGATGTATTAGGACGTACGTCGAGATATTACTTACGAATGTATCAATACATTATTTTATGAAATGTATCAGGACGTTGAGTGATCTGTTCAAATTTGAGCCGCAATGTATTGAAATCTCGAGGGGTGTTTCTGAAACTGAGACGCAATGTATTGGGACGTTTTGAATTGTATTCGAATTCTACTACACGATGTATCATTCAAATACGACACTTTATGCAATGTATCAGGATGTTGTTTGATATATCCAAAATTGAGATTCGATATCAAAACGTCGAGAGATGTTGCTGAAACTGAGACGCAATGTATCTCAGGACTTTTGAATGTATCTGAACTCCATCAAATTTTATTTTTTTTATAATTTGGAAAAAAAGAAAAATATGACATAATTAGCTTTTAACACTAAAATTTGTATAAAATCTACTTTAATATTTCATGGACGCGACTCACTTTTTTTAAATTAGAAATTTAACATATTTATTTATTTTATTTTTGATTATAATAATTTATAATTTATATCCATAATTTAAAATGATTATATTAAATTACATCATAAAGGGTCAGAGTATAGAAGTTATCAAGTCCGGCTAAAGTTGATAGGCATTTGGTTGACGATTTCAAATGGATATGTACAGTAGTAGTTATAGGTTGGACGGCAGCTTCTTCCGTCATCTAAAAGACTTGTTTGGCAGGCAGTAAATTTTACTTTCTTTTTTCAATAATGATTACTTTATTTATTATATATAAAAATGATTATATATCTATAAAATTTCAACCGTAATTTAAAGTTGTATTCTAAATTTGTAGAAAACACTCAAAATCTCTTCACTTTTATTATATATTTTTTTCAAATTTTATCCTGAATCTTTTATATTTTTAAAAATAACTCAATTTGGAAATATATTTCATGTTTAAATCATATTATATATATATATATATATATATATATATTAAAGTATTTTTGAACAGCTAGAGGTGTATATAAATTGAATTGGTTTGGATTTTTTTATATACCAACTCAAATTATTTGTGTTGGATTTCTAAATCTAGAAACCAAATCAAATCAATAAAATCAGGCTTTTTCATCCTTTTTTTTTCTTTCAAATTTTAGGATTTTCTCGAAAAAGTATTCATACAAATATTAATTTGTGCTTTAAATTTTTTTTTAGTCCTACAAAAATATGATATGAGTGATGACATTAAAATATCTAATAAAAAAATATTTAAGTCGCATAAAATAAATATTACAAATAAATAAGTTCTAATGAGAATTATCATAATTTTAAAATACAATAAATTACACTAAAACAAATCTAATTAGCATAATTAACATGACTAAGTATTAATGACAAACTAAACTTAGAGTATATTCTAATTATATAAATCATTGTAAAACTAAAGAAAAATACTCAACGTTATAGTTATTTTCACTGTTGACTTGAATTTTTTTTGATAGTCTTAGAGCCTGTTTGGCTCAGCTTAAAAGCTGGTCAAACTGACTTAAAAACTGGTTTTTGACTTATTTAGCTGTTTGACAATACTCAAAATAACTTATTTTAAGTTAAAAAAAAACTTATTTTAAGCCAAAAGTTATAAGTTGGGGTAGGGGTGCTTTTTTTTCCCAGTTTATAAGCTGTTTTATGTTGACCACATTTTTACCTTTTGCCTTTAATATTTTTATACAATCTCCAAATCACCCACATAACCCTAACATCTCTTTCTTCTATTTTTCCCTTTTCACGTGTGGATGATAGACAATTACTATTACTAATGAATGAAAATAAAATAAATCTTAAATCTTTCAAGTGATCAATTCAAATTATATATTATTAAAATGTAAAATAAGTTGCACATATAACTTAAATAAAAATTTATATTCCTCTTATAAATAATTTGTGATAATAAAGAAATATGTGAATGATAGACAATTATTATTATCTATGGATGAAACTAAAATAAAATCTTAAATCGTTCTTTAATCTATTCAAATGATATATCTTTAAAATCTATAATAAGTTTATATTTCTCTTATAAATAATTTGTGATGAGAAAGAAATATGTGAATGATAGCAAAATATAATTATTTATGGCTGTAAAATATAAATTAATTAACTTTTATTATGTTAACAACTTTTAAGGGTATTTTCAGAAATTTTGATTTAAAAAGTTGTTTATCAGCACACTTATTTGCCAAACACATCAACAACTTTTTTTTTAACTTCAACACTTTTATCCAAACGCATAACTGCTTATTTTAAAATAAAGTTTCAGCACTTTCAAAAGTACTTTTTTAAAGCTGCTTTTATTAAGCTCATCAAAACGAGTCCTTAGTACTTCTTTCGTCTCATTTTATATATTAGTCATTTTTAAAAGTAGTTGGTCCATAATATTTGTTATTTTATAAAATTAATGCATAAATTACCATATTATTTTTTTACCCTTGTAGTTAGCCTTGAAAATATATATTTGACCAACTTAGAAAAGTCAAGTAAATGATTTATATTCATTGGTTAAATTAATTAATCAAAATAAATTAATTGATATTCATTAATTGAGAACTTGAGTTCCAAAAAAATTAATAAGGGTAGAAGAGTAAAATTGCATCATTTCTTAATACAAGTACAAAGTAAAAAGTAAAATGTGAAATATAAAATGGAACCGAAAGAGTATTGATTTAAGTTTAATTCGAGTTACTAATATTTATAGACTATAATTTTTATTGGACCATTCAAAAATTTATGTCAAACTTGAATAATACGTTAAAACAAAATTTATGAAAATGTATAAAAAATGTTTATAAAATTATATTAAAGTAAATATTTTTATTTCTAATAAATTTTAAAAT